ACACCTAAATCCAAGGGTTGTGATTGTGCCACATAGAGTAGTTTTAGTTACAAATTTGATTATAATTTTTTTTTGTCCATTGGGCAAATTAACCCAATTAAAAATGGTAAAAAAAAACCTCGCTAGCCAAAACGTCGCCGTTGAGCTTTCTCTTTTTGAAAAAGGTTCGTTAGCTGCGAAAACGGTGCGTTTCCAACTCGAGCAAACCGCATCGTAAGATACACGACGCCGTTTGGGCGTCTCGATCTAACCTTTATTCTTCGCCGTCGTCGTCTTTTTCTATCTCCCTGATCATTCGCCGGAGTGATCATTACAGACTCAGATTTGATTCGATCAATAATTCCTATGGATGTCTCCTTACCAGTTGACAAATTATCTACTCGATCAAAACCTGAGTAAATTTCAAAAGCTCATTCTTGTTTTTGATTCTTTCTTGTTCCCCTTTAATTTTTCTCGATTTTGTAAATCTGGCCTACTAGTTGTGGTTATTTATGGTGATCAGATTCTCACCAGATTCACTGTAGATTTCTGGGTACTGACATTTTCTTTCGATCGCTTGTCTGAATTAGGGACAAAACTTGTGTAGTGCTTGTGGCAACTGGCTGTTTCAATCCTCCAACTTTCATGCATTTACGCATGTTTGGTCAGTTTTTACAAGATCAGTTACTGAATTCAAGTTTATCAATGGCGTTTTAGATTCGACCAATGCGATAATTTCGCATAATTCGAGACATAGTGATCAGTGTATGACGCGTTTCAATGGGAAAATCACACACTTTTTGTAGTGTAAACTGTAAAGTAGCTGACATTGTGTCTTGTTGCTTACTTGTTTCGTGAAACAATCCTAAAGTATCTGAATGTGACAAGAAAGAATAGCAGCACTCTGAGGTTTCTTGATTATTCATGTTAAACTAAAGTTTTCCACCGTTGATGATCTTGTTGCGAACTTTTGTTCAAATGTTTATGTGCCCTTACATTGAGCTGATGAGTTCTCTTTGTTGTGTTTAGAGCTGGCGAGAGATGCATTACAATCAGAGAGATTTCATGTTCTTGGAGGCTATATGTCTCCTGTAAATGATGCATACAAGAAGAAGGTATGATTTTGGCAATCTTAATTTCTTTCAATAATGACTCTTCTTCTTCTTTTTAGCTCCCAATGTTCTTCTGTTTACTGTTTAATTTCCTTGAGAAGTAATAGAATCATCCGATTCCGTGTAGGGCCTTTTATCTGCAGAGCATCGTTTAGAGATGTGTAATCTAGCCTGCAAAAGCTCTGACTTTATAATGGTTGATCCATGGGAGGTACTTTCTCATTCCCTGGAAAATATTTTATTAAGTTCTCTTTAAAAGAACAAAGGCCTTGTTTTCTTACAAAACTGTGAAAGCTGTTTCTACAGGCATCACAAAACAGCTACCAACGAACTTTGGTGGTTTTATCAAGAGTCAAGACTTTCTTTACAAAAAATGGACTTGTACCCGAGGGTAAGATAACAGCAAAATAATTGTCCTATGTGGCCTTGGACATCTCTCCACATATAGTTTATCTGACTTATGTTTTTGGGTTTTTGCTGGATCGTCTCTAATGCTAGGATCTCTCAAAGTCATGCTATTGTGTGGCTCGGACTTACTGCAATCTTTCTGCACTCCTGGTGTTTGGATCCCTGAACAGGTAAACCAAGGCAGCATTGTTATATTAACCGAGATTTGTTTTATCGGTTCTACTCACAGTTATGCTCTTCTTTCAATATTGGGGTTTTTAAGGTAAAGACTATTTGCAAAGAGTATGGCATTGTGTGCATCCGTAGAGAAGGACAAGATGTTGAAAATATGATCTCTAGTGATGAAATCTTAAACGAAACCCGGGTAAGTATTACCGAGTTTTTTCTTTATTCCACTGCATCAATCAGTCAAGTCGGTCTAATACGTTTTCTTTTGTAGGATAACATCAGAATCGTCGACAATTTTGTTCCTAATCAGATCAGCTCGAGTAGATTAAGGTAGTGTGAGGTCTCTTCTCCTCAAAAACATTCCATTAAACTAACAATATGGCTTCTCTTGCTCATTCTTCTGCTTCTTTTAGGGAATGCATTTCGCGAGGATTATCGGTTAAGTACTTGACTGAAGATGGAGTTATAAATCATATCAAACAACATCAACTTTACACTGACAAAAGCTGAGAGGTTTATTACTTCATCAGATCAAAATAATCGTGATAAACCGGTGTAATCAGATCACATATATATGCTTGACTGGAATTTGAAGATTCTTAGTTATACTAAATTTATATATCACATACAAAGGCTACAACAAGGTGAAGAAAGAAATAAAACTATGAAAGAGACCAGAGAATTTTGTAAATGTAAACTATTAGTAACGAGTCTAACTCATTCCCAAAAATTAGCTCAAAGGAGGAAGATTGTCACATACTTATATATTGATCTAGAAATCTCCCAAGTTTCGATGTGAGACATTTAACACCCCCTTCACGTTCAGGACTAGACATCTGAAACGTGGAGTTTGTGGGACTGAACATCCACGGGTGGGCCT